CAAAGCGCTGCACAGGGTTAGGAGCAGGGAGCAGGCTATGAGTCCAGGGCCGGTCATACAGTTGATAGGCGCGGTGCATGAGCAGCAGCACAATCCGCAGTTTGTGCCGAGGGCGTTGATTATTCCGTCGCCGAGTCCGACGTTTGGAGAGTTCAGGATGCCCAAGGAGTTGCCGCCGATTGAGCCGATTCGGACGCAGAATTCATGGGGTTCAGGGATATGGGATGGAAGTCAGGTTAGGCAGGATTTGCCCACCTGAAGAGAGCTGGATATCCGAAAAATTCACGTTACAAATGAGGGGATTTATCCTCTTCAATCGACCTCGTGGCAAAGAGCACCGCCAGCGTCAGGATGAAGCGCTGGGCAGCCAGGAGTGGATATGCCATCCGAGAGACGATGTTTCCGGCGTCTGCGTACACAAGGCGAGGAGTTGCATGTGGAGATCGACACGGAGCTCAGGAATACCGTTGAAGCCCACAGAGTCACATGGAGCAGAAGAGTAAGGACGAAGGCTACAACATGCCAACAAGGCTAGACGACGAAGCATCGAGGTACAAACACAAACGCACGAGCGACAAGACATACTCCAGAGAGCAGAGAATGGGAAAGGCCATCGATATTCCGCATACACGACGTTTCACCCAGAAGATGGTAGATGGAGAGAACAACGAGGACGAAGAAGAACACCTGTCAAGGTCGCTCGGTACGTGCTTGGAAAAGGCGGCATGAGCCCAAGTGTAAGAGACAGAAGCATCAACGAGGAACACATCCGATGTTCAGTGCTTGCTTTCTTGGAAATGGCAAGTCAATAGATTCTGTAGAGATAGACCAAGGATTTAAATCGATCCCACACGGTATAAGCATGTTATACAATTTTCCTCAAACGCCGCGCTGATGATGCACTCAATATCCACCAAAGGTCTACCACTTATTCAACCCCTCCAATCAAGCCTCTTCTCTTAGCCCTTCCATGGCCCTACGCCTCAATCCCCTCAGCCCTCTGCCTGAAGCCCTCTCTCTTCTCCGCCTCAGCCGCTGGCTCCCTACCCGTAGCATCAATGATATCCACCTTCTGCGCCTCGTCCACCATATCCACCCTGCCCGGCCGCCTCGGCCTGATGCTCGTCTTTTGAATGATGGGGTAGAAGTACGCAGCTTTCTGCATCTTGCCCTGCCTGAGCTTGTCATCCTTGTGCTGATCAGGATCATGCAGCGCCATAGCAACCACATCGCCGTAGTGATCCACCGTATCGCCCACCTGCTGCGCAGTCTCATATGTGCGAATATTCTCGAACTTGAAGCTCTTGCGGATGTTGCCGTCCTCGTCGGGCTCGGCGCTGTCGAATTCGACGTACGCTGGGTCTTCGGGGTCGTTGGTGGTGAAGTTGCGCTTGATGCCTGCGATCTTGGAGCGGGATGGAGGAAGGAAAAACTCGAATTGGTAGCGCGGGATGGGCATGGAGGCAGTTGGATCGGTCTTGTGGGCTTCTCGCTCTTGCAGATATGTTTCTTGGTCTTTGATTGTTTGGCCTGCGGGGCGGAGGAGCGCGACGTCGAGACGGGGATCGTATGAGGGGTCGAGGGGGTTGTTGATGGGTGGTGCCATATACTTAAAGACCATGTACGCGCCTGTGTCTGGTGTCGCGTCCCAGTCAGGAAGCAGCGGGTACGAATCGAGAAGCTTGAGACTGGGGTTTTTGGCGTTCTTGGGAGCTTTCCATGCCGCGCGCTCTTCTGCAGTAGTGTCTGCTGCGCGCAGGTTCTCAGCGCTGTCTTGTCCGGTGTAGGCATCTGCTGGGTACGCAATATTGAATCCCTTCACGATGTGTCGGGCGATGTTGATGGGGTCGTCGATGGAGGTATCGCCGCCTCTTCGCTTCTTGCGAATGCGCATTGTGTTGGAGGAGCTGCTGGACTCAAACTTCATGCCACCAGTGGTATGCGACGTGCTGTATTCAGTTCGGCGCAGGAAGGAGATGCCGGTCGCGGCGCCGCTGTTGCCCTTGCCCAGCGCACCCGGAGGTCGCATGAGCGCTCTGTCGGCGGCGCTCAATGGCGGCGGGTGAGGCATCGCTTGGATAGCTAGAGAACGCGTCAGCTACTGAGAGACGTGTACCACGTGGTGGTTTCGCATACCTGATTCATCTCCGTCGAAGACCTTGGGAATACCGACCAAATCGATTGGCATGCCCAGCTCTGCATCTGCCTCGATATTTGGCGGCTGCTCTCGCGCAAGCCTAGATGCAAAACCGGCCGAGGTGTATTGTCCGCTTGAAAGACCAGTATTGGGAATATCGAGCAGCTTGGGTGGGCATGGTGGAGGCGGGAGCGCGTTGGTGTATCGGATCCTCGAGATATAGTCCTGATGGACTGGAGGTCTACTGGCCATGATGTCGTTTTGCCGGCTCTGCAGCTGTGTGGTGGTGAATTTGCGAGGGTTGGAGTTGGTCAAAGAAAGTTGCAGGAGAGCTCGAGAGGCCGACGCGCCGCAAACCACCGCGCGCCAAGCCTTGGAGCAACGAGGTATATCAACGCAGGACGCGCAATTGTATTTCACTACAAGTTTGAAAGAGGGATAATTTCTAGAAACCCGATATATAGGCCACTGGTACATTGGCATCACACACTACTCTCTGTCAAGCAGTGCTCAAGGGCATGCAGAGAAACATGTAGACATATAACGATCGTGAATGAATATTAGGTAGGTATAATATCTATGTGAACTCTCTCATATTTACAAAGCTCCGCTGCCACCCATTACCGAGAGTCCATGGGTTTTGTACTGCCCTCAAGGCATGTCTGCCGTTCCAGTCTATTCAACGCCAGATTCGTGTCATCTCAAAGGTTGCCACTCTGCCACCAGCCATACGAAAGACAGCTGAAGCCATTGCCTCTACTCCATGTCCGCGACTCGGCGCCTTGTCGTCTATCGTATGCAACGATCCGTTCTATCCATTTACTGAGCCTTCCTGGCCTTGGCCAACTTCCTCTCACGCCTCTTCTTGGAAGCCTCAGCTCCAGCCTCAGTGTCAAGGCAGAAGTCCCACCACCTGAAGCTGCTGGCGTAGTTGCCAATAAACTTCTCGTGGTGAACATCGTGGTGCTCGGCGCCGGCCCAGATGGGGAGGAAGTGGTGCAGACTCCAGGGGAATTCGTAACCGCTGTGGGCATCGACGGCTTGGAAGACACGGAGCACGATCCAGACGTACATGGTGAGGATGTGGAGGTCCTTGGTGAGAGCGCACCAAACGATGGGGCAGCCGACGGTTCCGAAACCCAGGACCATGACTTCGATCGGGGAGGCGTACTCAGCAGCGAGGCCGAAAGGAGCCGAATACTGGTGGTGAATCTTGTGGACGTTCTTGTACAGGAAAGAGCTTGCGTGCATCAGGCGATGGGCCCAGTAGTGCCAGGCGTCTTCCAGGACGAAGAAAATGGCAATCTGATAGGCCATCGTCCAGATGCTGGGGAACGGTACGGATGTCTCGAGGCCGAAGTACTGGCACATGGGGTGAAAGAGCCAAATCTGAGGAAGCTCGACGGTGAAGTGGGAGAGGAGGACGAGGAGGGCACATTGTGTCTGTTCCCAGCTGGTGGGGACTTTGTTCTGTTCCCAATGAGCGGTTGCGACAGAGAGCTGAACCGAATGTATAGACATACCTGTTGAATCTTGTATTTCCTGAAGTATGGAATGCGGTCGATGATGATCCAGGGCAGAGCGCGGCCGAAGTAGAAAGACTCGTGCATGACGAAGGACATGATGCCGGTGGCCAGGACATCGTTGCCCATCCAGGTGTACCATGCAAGCCACAGCTTCTCGGCATAGTTGAGCTGGACATTGTACTTGGAGATCTCCTCAAAGGAGCCCCAGTAGGTATCCTGCGCCATTGGCGTCAGGACTGAGGTTGCGTTCCTGATATTGCCGTCAGTGGCTGCACGCCCGCCATTGGCCGTGAAAAGCGACATACATATTTGCGTTTCGCGACGAATAAGCAAAGTAAAATTGCACCAGTCTAATAGTGAGCGAAAGGAACGACTGCAGGTGGGTGTTGTAGGAGAGTTGTTGTGCAGCGCAGGAGATAGAAGAAGAAGTCGCAAAGGAGGCGAATTAAATTGGAGCTGCGATGGCGATCCTCAACGCGCACCACTTTGTCGTGGTCAGGGACACACTCTTTCCGGCTCCGACCCTGCCAAGCCGCGAGCCATACTCGATCAAGTGCATATCGCAACCAATCACAAACGTCTCTGTACAGCAAAATGCAAGCCATCTCTCACCGCCTGCGTATCGTGGGGAGACCATCTCTGCGGCTCGACCGCTTCCGCGTCGTTCGATTGTCCTTCAGATGTCTGTTCCACCACCATCGTGTCACCGTGGGCCCACACTGCCGCACATGCCGATGCTGTCCCGTTTCCGCCGACTTTTGCCCTGCGACTTTTGCCCTGCGACTTTTGCCCTGCGAAATGATCGAAGCCGTGCAGTCGCCACACGCGGCTGGACAGGGGTCGTCGGCGCCGTTGGACCCATGCTCGACTTTGTTCCACCTCGCGTGGTAAGCTGGGTGTGGCTAGAATCTGTGGACGTGAAGGCCCCAGTGACTTCGTTGTCACCATTCCTTGAGCTTCGGCGCCATAGCCTTTGAAGGAGATTAAAGTCGGTGTTCTGATATGAATTTTATCTCCTTGTTCGCAAACAACCTGGTCAATATTGCCTGGAAACTTTCTTCTCTGAGATGCTCGGAGCCGCACAAGCGATCCAGCCCTTCCAGAGGTCACGCGCGCGCGTCAGTGTGCTATCATGGAGCTGCTGATTTCATGCTTCTCCTTTGCACTGAGTGCTGACCTCATGAAGACGCCAAAAAAAAAACTACTTTGGTAGTACCGGTACTCTGTACAAATAAAGTCATGCTTGTTGATAGGATTCCGACAGAAACACCAGACGATTGCCTTCACAAACCTTTACTCAAAAGAATCCTTCACGTTAAAAAGAGCAAAAGAAATGTTGGACACACCCAGACTCGAACTGGGAATTTTCTGTATCACGACCGCCCTGCGTACTGCTCGTTCCTGCCTCGATTCCTTCGATTCTGGAACTTTGACGAATGCTTGAACTTTGAGAGATGGATTTCCATAAGAGTCAGGAGTCGCTAGGCCACAATATACGGATGCGTTACCATTACGCCATGTACCCGTTTTGATTGTTGATAGGAGATTAGTACACGCATTAGAATATATACTAATGTGTTTGAAGCGACGCAGATTAGGCGTCGAGTAATTCAATAGCTACAAACGCAACAAACAATTAAGGACACACGGTGAGAAGGCGCAAACATAACGGACATAAGATAGATCGTTATACTTCATGCTACGCTATGCAATGTTAAACTAACGAAATCGTTCATGGCGACTCGGAAAATAATGAGGCTCATCACGGAGACTCCATGCTCTGCTCAAATTTCCTCGCTATCTCCAACATCTCCGCATCTAATCTGCTGCCACTCAAGAATGTGACACTGAACGGCAACACACCGCTGTCTTCCTTCCCACTCAATTCGGATACTGGGTATGTACCAGCCGGAACAGCTGCACCGCACAGATCAAGCACATTACCGCAATGTGTAAACTCTCCAAGGACACTATTCTTCTTGATAGGGTCTGCCAAAACCTCTTCGATCGTCCAATGCGTCGGCGCGGTAGGTACAACAATGACATCTACACCAGCAGCCGAGTATGCAAAGACTTGCTCTGCCTGCCGAGTGTACAAGGCTTTGGCCTGCAGATCTCGGTACGCATCGACAGCGGAGCTCTTTCGGGCAACAACCTTGTCCATAAGTTCTGCGATGACAGGGTGCAAAGCAGATCTGTTTTTCTCGAGGAAGTCATCGGGCAGCGAGGCGAGGCGTTCTGAAACAAAAGTGCCGTCGTACAAGAGCTGGCCAGCTTTGTGGAAGGGCGACCAGTCGATGGGAGTCAGCACACCTCCAATCTTTTGCAGCTTTGCGACGGCCTCGTTGAACATGCGACGTGCTGGCCGTGAGCAGATGGCAAGGGCTTCTGGTGGTGGGATACCGAACTTGAAGCTTTGTGCTTGTGGTCCAATACTGTTGATGTGTCTTTCGAAAGCAATTGCAGGCTTTGCATATGGATCCAGCTCATCATGACCTTCAAGGATTTGCCATAGCGTTCGAGCATCAGAGATAGTCTTTGCGCTGAGTGCGATGCAGTCCAGTGATAAACAGGCTGGTGTCACGCCGCGGAAGGAAATTGTGCCTCGCGTGGGCTTGTAGCCAACAATACCGTTGAAACCAGCTGGTACTCTGCCGGATCCTGCTGTGTCAGTGGCAAGACTGAAAGAGACAAGATTCGCTCCGACTGAAACTGCACTTCCACTGCTTGAGCCTCCGCTGATGTAGTCCTTATGAAATACCGAGTGTGTGGTACCGTACGGACTGCGACATCCTACAAGACCAGTAGCTAGCTGATCAAGGTTGACCTTGCCCATGAAAAGGGCACCCTCGGAGATGACCTTGTCGAATACCACTGCTGAAGTGGAAGGCACGTGTGATAGAACTTCGCACGCGGTCGTCGTAGGAATACCCTGTACGTCTATGCTATCCTTCACACTGAAGGGTAACCCGAACAAAGGTGGCAGAGCCGAGCGGTCTGTGAAGCGGGTCGCAAGTTTACTGGCAGCTTCCAGAGCTTGCTCCTTTGGCACGAGGTGTATCCATACAGCCGAATCAACTGCCTTGTATGCTTCGATCTTGTTGTACACAGCTTCAATCACCGCGACAGGAGATAAGCCGTTCTTGTAGGCTCGTTGTAGACTTGATATGGTAAGGTCTCCATCAAAAGCTGGTGGCGTCTGAGGGGGCGTTGCGTCAGCGACTTGACCCGAGGTTGAAAGAGGCGTGAGTACGTCCAGAAGCGCTTTCAGGTTTCCTATGAAACCAAAGAGACCTTGGGACCAATGTATCATGTCCAGAGTTGACTTCTTGAAACAGGCGTCATTATAACCGCTTGTAGCCTCCTCGATGCCACAGCACTCGAATCCTCGATCGTTAGCTTCACGAATGGTAGTGGCGAAGCAACATTCTGTAGTGACTCCAGCAACGATGAGGTGTGTAATAGCTCTCGCCTTGAGGTCATGTAGGATAGTCGTGTTCCAGAACGAGCCTTTGCCAGGCTTGTCGATCACAATCTCACCAGGGAGCGGTTGCAGTTCATCAACGATGTCATGACCGTATTCTCCACGGGTAAGTAGTCGTCCCAGCTCTCCCTTCTCACCAATTACTAGCTTGTGCTGAGTATTGCCTGGTGCGGCGGATTGTCTCACAAGTTTTGACGAAGGACAATCCGACAGGTCTGGCTTGTGACCTTCCCGGGTGTGCACAATAGTGAGGCCGGCTGCCCGACATGCATTGAGTAATCTTTTTGTTGGAGCAATAGATGCTTGTACTGCTTCCAGATTGCCTCCTTGTATTTCGCCAAATCCTTTGGCAAGTAAAAAGTCTCTTTGCATGTCGATGACAAGCAGAGCAGTGTGCTCAAGTGGAAATGTGAACGCATATGGTTTTGCGTCAAACGAAAGTGTTGAAGATGCCATTGTGCTCGTCTGGACCATGGACTGACCACGATAGAGACTGAGGAACCCAAAAATAATCACAGAGAAGAGCTTGAAGCACTGAAGACTCAGCTGAGGACCGAAGAGAAGACGAGACGAGATAGGCTTGAGGAATCGAAAGCCACAATCGGTAACCTACATACTTATTTGATATACTACTCGACTACGTTCTTCATGCCTGCCGTTGATGGCAGATGCGGCCGGCCGTCGCCCCGCCCCCGCGCCGCAGGCAAGTCAACCTCGTCCCTATCTTATCAGTGAAAGCAAGCCCGTTCGAGTCTAGTGGGGTTGACATGCGAGCGCCACGACCAACCAGCTGCCGCTCGGATGGACTCCCCCTCCCGAAACCCAGCACTTGAGGTTTGAAAGCTTCTCAGCTCAAAATACAGGTTACAGCGAAATGTTCTAGGATCATAGAAATGGCACGGCCGCTACAGTCGCGCCGTAGGCTGCTATCTCTGGGCACTACACAGATCTCGACAGAGTATAGCTCGAGACTTTGCAACGATAGGAGCTGATGGAGTCTGAATGCCAGAAGTATATGTAAGACCAGGATGTCTGCAGAAGACAGCTCTATCAGCACATCTTGTCGAAATTGGTGCATCCAGTCTTAAGACCAATCGCAGACATGTCAGTCCTCAAAGCAAGACTTGCACCTCATTTCCGCCTCCGCGTCCCTTACGAGAGTGGTAAATATGGCTCGCGCTGGTCCAACAAAGGTACGTGTCTCATTCACGGTTGCAGAGTCAAGCTCATAATGTCAGATCTTGATCCTATACCACCAGCGCAGAGGACATGGGGCGCTCTTGACTACTGGGCATACTGGTGCAGTGACATGTTGGCACCACCTTTAGCATCGACAGTCAGCAGTGTCATGGCTCTTGGATTCACAGCTCGAGAGACTATTCCTATTGTCTTCTTTGGTTTCGCCATCTGCAGTGTAGTCATTACCCTCACAGGAAAGATGGGCGCAACATACTCTGTGCCGTTTCCTGTTATCATTCGAAGCGTCTTCGGCATGTACGGCTCTTTCCCAGCCATATGTATCAGAGCATTCGTTGCGTTGATGTGGACCGCCATTCTCACCGTACAAGCTGGCAACTTCCTCCAGCGATGCATTGAAGCAATCTGGCCCAGCTTCATCAACTTCCCGAACCACCTTTCTGAGAGTGCTGGAATCGACTCTGCTGGTCTTCTGTGTGTGTTCCTGTACTGGTTCATGCAAACAGCACTTGCACTCATGCCAATCTCGAAGCTCCGCATCTTGTTCTGGGTAAAGGGCGTCATCGTTCCTCCAACGTTCCTTGCGCTGTTTCTGTGGGCCGTCATTGTGACCAAAGGGTGAGTCGCTCTATTCAAATATGTCTCATGCTCCTGCTGCGCTGTCTCGAATCTGCAAATTCAGGGCTAACGCAACATCTAAATAGTGGAGGTCCTCTGATTCGTGGCAATCTCGAGATCAAGTCCCACTATATGAACACGGCATATTCGGCTCTCACTGGCCTCAACGTCATCATTGGATTGTTCTCGAGTTTAGCTGTGAACATGCCTGACTTCGGACGGTTCAGCAAAAACAAGCTTGCGGGTCCACATCAATTCCTCGCTCTGCCAATAATAGGCACTCTCGGTGCTCTGACACCCATTTTCGTCACTGATGCGCATTCGTATCTGTGGGGCGAGTTCGAGTGGTAAGTTATCTTGTGAGTCTAGCCCGGTATGTGCTAACGTCTCGGCAGGTACATGGTAAGATGTCTTTGTACGACGTTTATGCGAAATGTTACTGACGTTCTAATCAGCCAGCCGTGATAGCTAAATTCGACTCCCGTGCTGCGAAGTTCTTCGTGTCTGCTGCTTTTATCCTAGCCACTATCGGTAACCAGGTCGCGGCGGGAACATATCCTTTTTCAAATGTAAAACTCCTCGCAAATTACACACGAACTTAGCTAACAACAACGTTAGGATATCACGGGCATGTCTCCAAAGTATATCAACATCTTCAGGGCGACTGTTTTCATTTCAATCTTCTGCATCGTATCCACACCATGGAACATCATCAAGAATGCCAGTGGTCTACTCTCGTTCCTCTCTGGCTACTCATGTCTGATGGGTCCGCTTGCAGGCGTCATGGTGTGCGACTACTACATCATCAAGAAGCGTAAGCTTGATGTCGACCAACTTTACACGGATCGAGGCATCTACTGGTACAATGGAGGCTGGAACTGGCGCGCGTATGCTTCCTTCTTCATTGGCTTTGCACCACTTCTGCCTGGATTCGCAAAAAGCATTGACAATACCCTTAATGTTGGCGGAGCATGGAAGATATACACCTTCGCGTGGCTGTACGGTTTCTTTACAACGGTGCTGGTTCACTACATCATCTGCACCTACGTATCAGTTCCTACCCAGTCTTTGGTCGAGGTAGCTGTGTACCCACCGCAGAAAGGTGAGGAAACACCATCCATCATCGATGGTGAAGAGTCAACTACCAAGGAGACTCATGTTTCCACCAAGGAGAAAGAAGCGGTTGACATGGTTTGAAAACCGGTACGATAAATTGAACCTGTAAC